AGTGTTATCATCAATCACCAAAAAGGAGGAGATTGAAAGCATCTAGGCCCTAGTTGTGTTTCGGTGATTAATGACGACACAAGATTACTGTGACTAACATGTGTTTTGCAGAGGCAATTTGAGTTAGGTCATGGTAATGCTGATTGATTGAGCAATTATGGTTTTCAAGCCTCTATTGATGGAAATTGTTTTGGTTTTTCAAAGGATGGACAACAAGGTTGAGGACGACTAGTTCTAAGTGTCATTTGGTGTTGGAGAGACACTTAGAGTAGTTTAGGACTTTGTTTTTCCTTTGGTCGTACTATTAAGGAGGGTATGAACTAGTAGCTTGACCTAAGTAAGTCTAATAGTTTAGGTGTGGTGCACACTTATAAAACTTAGCACTAGGTAGCTCAGGGATAGCCCAAAGATCAGTTGGAGTCAACTTCATTCACAAAGTTTCTCGAATTGGAAGTGAATGGAATTGAGACAAGGTGACCGGACGCTGGTCCTTGTGGGACTGGACGTGCCAAGTCACTTGCTTGGCGCGCGCAGTAGGAACAGAGGAGCGACCAGACGCTGGCTACTGTAGCACAGAGGGCGCAGCGCTCACGTAGGACTGGACGTTGAGGACATTGTGACCTGACGCACTGGAGGCCGTGCCTGGTCGACAACAGAAAGCATCCAGAGAAGGTTTTTGGGGACCTGACGCGTCAGGTCAGGGTGGACCTGACTCCATAGTGAGTTCGGTCACTCTAACAGTCGACTGTTTGAGCTGGCAAAGTTGCAGCCGTAGTATATTGACTAGACGTGTCCGGTCACCCCGAAATGTGCTGAGTTGGACCCCAACGGGTATGTTTTGAAGTGAGGAGTATAAATACTTCTCCTACTCATCCAACCTAGTTCTCTTGCCCATTTCTTCAGCTGAGAAACACCTTTGTAGTGCAAGAGAGAGCAAGAGCCTAGTGGGGTGACTGAGATTTGAGAATCCAAGATTAAGGACCTCATTAGTGCATAGGGAGTAGCAAGTGTGCATCCACCTTTCTCATTAGGCTTGTCTTGGTCAAGTGAGAGTTTGTGCTTGTTACTCTTGGTGATCGCCATCACCTAGATGGCTCGATGGTGATTGGAAGCTTGGTGATCATCCGGCAGAGCTTGTGGATGACCCAAGTCATGGTGTCAGCGGTTGTTGACGATTCACCGCTACGAAGTGTAGAAGAATCAGCCCATAGAGAGCATTTGATCCTTGCGTGGATCAAGGGGTAGCTACACCCTTGCGCGGGTGCTCCAACGAGGACAAGTGGGGAGTGGCAACTCTCCGATACCTCAGAAAAATATCACCGCGTTCCTCTCCCTCTCTTTACTTTGAGCATTTACTTTTGAGCAATTCAATTCATGCCTTTACATTCTTAGAATTGCCATGTTAGAGTAGGATTAGAACCTAGGGTGCAAAACTTTTATGCGGTAGAACAATAGAAACACTTCTAGGCAAAAGGCGGCGAAATAGGCTAAGTGTAGGACTTAATTATTAAAAGAAATTTAGAATTAGTCCAATTCATCCTCTCTCTTAGGCATCTTGATCCTTTCAAGGGGTTAGTACCTTATGTAAATACTATATAACAAATTTATTATATTCCTATGGTAACAATTGATTTGCATACCATGTAAAAACTTTATTTTATTTTCGGAGTAGCAAGTTTAGTATTATATGGTAGCAACTTATTTCATAGATCTCTTAGCACATTTTTATACATAAATTGCTACTAAAATAAAAAATTTTGAAACATAGGCAAGCGGGGTCTAGTTTTGTTCAGCTCGACACGTAGAACATACCGGTGCAAATGGAATTAAAAACGAATATGTCATTCAAAAGTTATAGCAATTTAAATAAAATAGTTTCCTTTTTAGATTTCTGTGCAAGGTACCTGCGCTGGTTTAGTCATGACTCATGAGCGTGGGGCTCAGTCCTGGGGCTGGTGTCGCTCAGCCGCATGCGCATGCAGTGAGTGGGTCGCTACTCGCCAATGTCCACTCCGCCACTGCATAGGCTGGGGTCGCGCGATTTGCGTATGCGAGACGGGTCGCGCTTTATCCCTATCCGATCCCAAACCGCCACCATTTGTGGTCAGCCTTCCCCACGTCCGCACGAGCCGCATGGGCACATGCGGCATCCCCGCACAACCCCACTTCACTTGCTCTGCCACAACACTTGAGATACGGACGACATCTTCAACTATTGGATTCACCAAATTGCACAAGCCATGATCCTTTGGTTCTCAATCCTTTGAAAACGTCCTCCCCTTGGCCACCACCTTAAAAGGCTAGTGTGCGTGTCTAAGTCAAGTTGGAGGTCAAATACATATCAGGTTCGAGTTCATCTCGGCGTCCAGAAGTAGTCTGCACTAAAACAGATGTCCAAGTCACATACAAACTCCATTTTGGATGTTCTACCTATACATGGCATTCTAAAGAGACAAGCTTTCCAATAGCACTGGTTTGCCATCAAAATACATTCAAAAACAACATGAATTGTCGAAACAAATGGATGTCTAGAATATGTTTTAGGCCATTGGGCCTTGTAACGTGTTGGGACCCCTCAGAGATGCAAACAGGGGTCTTGGGTAACCCCTTAGATTATATAGTTAATAGCTGTCACCTAAGTTAGGGCTTTGGTTTCTTCTTTAGATCAATCTATCTTTGAAAAGTCATCATTCATCAGTTTGTGATACCCTACATTTGAGTGCTTAATCATTCATCTATAATTGTTGCTTTACTCGAGTGGCGTTTTTTGAGTCCTTGCTTGTGTTCTTCGATTCATAGGTAGGTATTAGCCTTTTCGGTAAGGTCAACTGGATTGTGACATGGTTGATAACCAAAGGAGACATAGTGCTAAGGTTGTATGGCTTAGGTCTTGTGATCTAAAGCTAGATCAGTGTGCCACTCTCTGTCCATGTGGAAAGTTATCTCCACCTGCCGATAGATCGGGACCCCTAATTCAAGTCGAAAGTTCTATCCACCTGATGATATATTGTGACCCTCATTCCCATTGCAAACCATGTTTATGGTGTGGGGAAGTCCTAGGGGCTATCCATGAAGCTACCAACCAGTAGCTTGGTCCTTGCGAGGGTATTCTTACGAGGGCGCCAACAAGGACTAGGAGGAAGTGTGAGCTTCTCGATACCTCAAAAAATCAGTCATCAACAAGAGTTTGCATTTTGTAACTCATTTATGTTTCTACACTTGCTTTCTAGGTTGTGTGCTTTACCTTTTCTAGTCTAGCTTGCTACGTTAATTGATAGGATTGGAACCTAGGGTGCATAACTTTTTTATGTTAGAGATAGCAACACTTAGCAAAACCATAGTGCACATTTAGATAAGTATCTTGTATAGGTTTTAGTTGGATATTAGTTTTAAAGTACCTAATTCACCCCCTCTATGCATCATGGTCTTTCACATGCCACGTTGGGCCTAAGGGCCAAACGAAAAAGGTAATGAACCTAGATGTCACTCCATCAAAAACCACTTTAAAATTTTAGGGATCCAAAAATGCTATTTGAGTGTTGATGGACCTAAATATCACTTCCTCAAAAGGCAATGGATCTCTAATGCATTTTACTTCGGTTTTTCATAGAAATGAATTAAAAATGATGTTGCCATAATTGATAATGCATAGTAAAAGAAGGTTATACAAAACAGAAATGATAAGCAAAGTCTTTAAACATGCTTGACCTTTTCTTTGAACTAACAAACATGCTTTACTACCCATTAGAAGTCCACATACAGATGTAAAGGTCTACACACACATGTAAGTTGGTAGGTTAAAATAGCACAAGGCTACACAGAAAAAAATAGTATAATATCTTTGGAAATTCCTAGCCAAAAGCAATAAATCGCTAAAATGGTAGAAACAATTGTCATCTTCATATTTGGGGTTTATTTGCCATTTCCATTTTCTCCAAAACGCGATAAAAACCTCAAAAACTAGATTTTAGCCATGTTTACCATCCATGGCATAGTCAGAGAAGGACACCACTATGGCAGCTCCATTAGGCAGTAGATGAATATCGTTTCCACTAGGTTTAACACATTTTATTAGGGTCTAGTGACTACATTATTGAGATAATGTAATTTCACCTTTGGCATATCATAAACCAATTTTGAATCGTATGCATGCCCAAATATCACTATGGCTATGATACCATGAGAACTGGATCATGGACTCATGGTCATCATGTATCAATAGATTAGTAGCATCATAGCTGGTACTATGGCAACAGAATCACGACCATCCATTCATCCCGTAAACCACTAGTATTACGATCGTTGGTGGCGCCACGATAGTTGGATCACGTTCATTGATTCATCCCGCTATAATTACGATGATGCCATAGCAGCTGGATTTTTGTCGGACGTAAATCATTTTCCATTACAGCTGTATCATGGTCAAAGGCATGCCCCATATACCCCGTGACAGCTATATCACGATCAAAGGCGTGTCCCATGACCAAAGTTGGTGCGACGAATATAAAATAGTATTACTGCAATAATTATTACATACTAATAATAATGTAATATTCCCTTTGTTCTAAATTATAAAACGATTTAGTTTTTCTAGATACATTTCAGTTTGTTATGTATGTAGACATAGTGCATATCTAAACACATAAAAAAACAATGTATCTAGGAAAATCTAAATATTTTATAATTTAGAACGGAGGAAGTAATAATAAACTAAAGGGAAAAATAAGGGCTGCACGAGCACGACTACTCATTTGTCTATAAGGTCAATGACAAGTGGACCTACGTAATTCATGGTCCCACTTGCAGTCCGCCATGGACTCATGGTGGTAAGATGTCGTTAGAAAAAAAAGAAGTCCTCATTCACCATGCCAGGTAATCTGGAGCCTGGAGCCTGGAGGGGAGAGGCATGATAAAAGGAGGCGGATGGGGGAGACAAACGCAGACTGCAGCAGGAGAGGAGCGGGAGGAGAAAGGAGAGGAGAGGTTCAGGGGGCGGGGAGATGCCGCCCACGAAGAAGGCCAAGAAGGGGAAGAAGAAATCCAAGGATGGCAAGCTCAAGATCGCCAGGTCGCGGGGCGCGCCGCCGCCGCTGCCGCCGGTGCTCCGCGCTCTCGACACCGAGTGGTGGTACACCTTCCTCAACAAGCAAACCGAGCTAAGTATGTATACACCTCCCCAATCTGTTCTGATTCTTCTTTTCCTCTGCCCCGCAGCAGAGGCGTTTTCTTGAATTTTCGTCCCGGGTTGCTGCATTCGACCAAATCTGCACAGGCGGCCGCTCCAGCCGGGCATTACGCGGCCGCCGCGCCTCTTGCTGATTCGGGGGCACGCCGCTTGCCCAGATGGGTGTGGGTTCGCGCTTTAGCGTTGTTAATTTTCGGGGGACTAGAGGGCAGAGGCCCGTATGTGAATGTGCCAAGATTTGGGTGGTAGGCAGCCTTGGTCTTTAGTCTTGACGAAAGGCCGGATCTTTTAGGCTGATTTTGTGCGGAATTGTGAGTTTGCATATTGCAATCACGCAATGTACTAATGATTCTGTTATGATGTGAAATGATCTTGGTCTAGCTGTGTGTGGTTAAATTTCGATTTTCTCTTTTGGGCAGAACATGTTGTGCCTTCAGATGAGGGGGAAGCATTCAGGCATTTCTTCAGGACTTCAAGGAAGACTTTTGACTACATCTGCTCCATTGTTAGGGAAGATTTGATCTCAAGGCCACCATCTGGGCTGATCAACATCGAGGGGAGGCTGCTCAGTGTGGAGAAGCAAGTGGCAATTGCCATGAGGAGGCTTGCATCCGGTGATTCCCAGGTGTCAGTAGGGATTGCTTTTGGTGTGGGTCAGTCTACTGTTTCGCAAGTGACATGGAGGTTTATCGAGTCGATGGAAGATAGGGCTAGGCATCATCTGGCATGGCCAAACCAAGAGAGACTGGAGCAGATCAAAGCTGCTCTGGAGGATGCTTATGGCCTACCGAATTGTTGTGGTGGTGTCGATGGCACCCACGTAACCATGACGCTTCCTGCTGTTGAGTCATCTGAAGATTGGTGTGATCATGCAAAGAACTACAGTATGTTCCTGCAAGGGGTTGTTGATGATCAGATGAGGTTTATTGATATTGTTACTGGTTGGCCTGGCAGCATGACATTCTCACGCCTGATGAATTACTCTGGGTTTTTCAAGCTCTGTGAATCTGGGGAACGTTTGAATGGCTCTGTGAAAGTTTCAGCAGAGGGTGCAGAGATCAGGGAATACATTGCTGGTGACTCATGTTATCCTCTACTCTCATGGCTTATGACTCCATATGAAGGGAAAAATCTGTCTGCCCCATTGCAAAACTTTAATGCCCGCCAAAAAGCTGCAAGGCTGCTTGGAACAAATGCATTGGCACGGCTGAAGGGATCCTGGAGGATCCTACACAAAGTCATGTGGAGGCCTGACAAGAACAAGCTGCCAAGTATAATTCTTGTTTGCTGTCTGCTTCACAATATCCTCATAGACTGCCATGATGAATTGCTTCCGAGCGTTCAACTTCCGGAACATCATGATACTGGCTATACTCGAGAAAACTGCGGGCAGGTGGATCCTAATGGCAAAGTAATGAGAGAAAACATTACAGCACATCTCCAACACCGTGAAGCTTCCAAGTTTCTCAGCAACTGAGCTAAGTTAGCTTGCTGTATTGCTGGGATTGTGATGATGCATCATCAATCCTTTTTCCCTATGCAATTTCCCTTAGTTTCTGTTATTGTAGTGAGACTTTCTGATTGCAATTCAGTAAAGATTCTCTAGAAATGGCATGGTTCATTACTATAGAATATATAGCTAGTTGGAAAAGCCCAAGGACTAAGCCTCATGCTTGGGTTTATGTTCTTCAGGATAATGCCAGTCCTCATCATGTTGAGCGCCATGATGTTGCAAAGTGTAACAAAATTCATGAATGATCTGGTAACTGGTATCTTTTTTTCGAATGATTTGATATCTTAACTTAGGTTGGTTTATAAGGTCCCCATTTATATGATGAGACCTTTTGTTGTTGGAGAGGGCCTGAACTTGATGGCATGAATTCAATACCCTGATAAGTGTGCAACAGGCAGGTCTAGAATTTTGTGGTGTTATCAGATATAGAGTGAATTATGTAGCCTGACAAAAATATATTAAGTTGGTCTAGTAAAGATTGGATGATCTTGATTTATTTATAAGAGATTTGGATGAGATAAATTGAACTTCTGTTTAGTTTCATGATTAGCCTGATAAGCAAGTAGATAATAGAATTAACTGGATTGCGATGATGGAATCTGTTACAGGTACAATAATGATAGTTCTCTTATCTTATACTGTCCTCAATCGTGATCTGTAATTTCTATCAATAACTAAGATTGAATATTCTTTAATGCAGCAGTGTAAATGCTTCAAGTGATATTTCAGAGTTTTTTTTAATTAGCTTCAGAAAACTTTTTCGCAAACGAGTTTACTCCATAAAACCATTATGGGCTTCTGTGAGGTTGCTTTCTATAAGTTTTCTTTGTGAATCACTTTTTGATCCTCTTTTGCTCTTTAAATCCTTCGAATGAATGTTCCATGAATATTTCATCAGAATGTTGCTTGAACAGATGCTAATATCCAATGAAGTGAAACCGTTTATAATCTTTATTGCTCTCTTGCGAGTTTTCAAGCAAAAGCTAAGTATGCATTACTGATTTTACATTGCACTGCATTTTAATTTTCAAATGTTCCAACAATCTGCATCTCTAAATTCACTGCCAATCTCTTCCCAACAATGTTTTTAAAGCATTTGAACGCTGGTTGCCAACACATATGAAAACTTTTGGTGCATAGATAGAGAGAACAAGATAACATGTAAGGACTTATAGGCTGCAGGTGAAAATGGAGAAAAGTTTGGCCAGCTCTTCCGCTCCTCTGTTCTTTTCCTGTGTCAGGGCATGATCAAATCTGGCGTTGTAACCTTTTTGCTCATGTACCTTATCCTAAGCTCAAAATGATTATACGAATGCGTACATTTGTCACTAAATGCATAGGTATGCTGCCTTGGGAAATCGGTGATGTGCTGATTCAGTAGGCTTTCTTATTATATGCTGTTCTTTTAGGTACTGGTACTTAGGAGCATTATTTTTGCTGTTGACTGTTGATTCCAGTCAGATGAAATTGAAGTAAGCCCATTCCACTATATGTACTCACAGTTTTGCCTGTACTTTTCTGATTTAGAGTGGTACTAGTCATCTCAGGCACGGAGGAGGTTGGTTACTTTTTTTTGTGGTGACTCTGAACACATCCAATACTTTTCTGCAGGCCTACCTTAGCACAACAGCAAGAGAATGCCATTCAACTAACAGTGATTTCTTAGGAACCAAAGGCAATAAAGTATAGCCTTATCGACTAACCATTAGACAACCTAATCCTGAACCCCTCCAAATCAACCACCGGTAACCTTGTCCTCCTGTTTTTAGTTGGTGGGAACTTTATGTGATCTGGAGCTAACTGAGAAAATGCCTTTTATACTTCAAAGTTCGAAAAGAAAACTGCATTTGTGTATAGATTGGGGTTTAGTATAATAGCCCATGATAAGTTATGTTTTGTTGATCTTAAAGAGCAGTTTTAGTAAGGGGCTTCTGAAATTTACACAACTGCAGTTCTTTATATTTGTCCTTTTTTGTGTGTGTTTATGTTTTTGTTAGGGGTTAAAACATACTCTGTTCGTTCCTCGTATAGAACTCGGTTGGTTTCTTCTTGAAGCATGTACTGATAATCCTCTGTATTTTTATTTTATCCACTGAAAATCAGCTCATCAATTTAGCATGCATTTTTGTTCAGGGCAATAAAATGCTGAGATAGTCTCTACAATCTGCATAATCAACTGGCAATGCCACATTTACCATGCTACAGTTCATTTTCTTATTCTGAAGATTGTTTATTGTTTACCATGGACACTGTTTTTACTTTTATTATTTATTTAATGATAATTAGTTCCACGTAGCATTAAGTGACTGCTGCCTCTTGTAGAATGCATGCTATTAGAAAAAAGTTATGGCACACTGTGGTGCTATCTTTTACATGTTACTCCATGTTTGATACAATTTATGGTTTCAAGCCAAGTCTCATTATACATAGACATGAAAATGTCAACAAGTTGCAACATAATATATTTGAAAGCAAAGAAGGACTACAAATTTTAAAATATATGCAAGATTCTCTGAAATTGGTGAGAATTAGCTTGGTTTGCAAACTGCTGCTTGACACCATGATTCCACAATTGAAATGATTAGCTCAAAGTAGCGGGAAAACTTTTGTGAACATATACGCTGATTTCACTGGAATTTGATGGGTGATGTTCTTATTCTTGAAAATCACCTTGTGCTGCCGATCACCAATTCCGCTGAAATTGTTGAGAATTGATTTTTGAATTTGATGAAATTTTGACACATAAGAAACCCATACCGTACAAAAATGTGCCGAGAATCATGGTTAAGTACATGGTCAGGACTCAGGAAAGACCTAATTCCTGCATGGTGACATTGCCAGTGAAGTTGTATCAACACTTAGAAGACAGAGAGCAACACACAGGTGGGAATAAGCATTGTGGCCATTAAACTTGCTGCATTCTTTGAGTTTGTGGAGCTTGAGGTTCCATTTCCTGCATCAAATAAAATGCTGTTGTCAGGTTTGTTCATATATTGTTTTATAACCAGGCCTCCATGCAATCAGTATTCTGAGCAAATTGAAATAAAAGAACCACTACATGCATCTAGCTGCACTGAAATGTCGTAATTTGTAAGCATTCAAACTACTGCAGGTAACCTTTGAAGTGCTGCTAAGTTTTATCATGTAGGGACATGTGGTACATGCTAAAAGGATTCTTTGCATGGCCATCTGAAGTCCTAAAGCAGCAGAAGTCATCTATTTTGCAGCGCAACAAACCATATTTTTCCTTTAACCAGTACAGATGTAAAATTTGGTCTTCTGTTTTGTATTGGAATAGCCCAACTCCTGTTTAGTCAGAAGCATCTAAATGAGAACATATAGGTTTACCAATGACTTCACCTGACGGGGAATCTGCTGCTGCCTCAACTTCTTCCCCCTCTGCTGTTGCTGCCTCGTTGGAAGGTGTTGGTACAGGTGCTCCTGGGATGCCTGAAATCAGGTAAGAATTTAAAGGGGCAAATAGAAATTGATAATGATTTGCATTTCATGATGACACAACATGCCTGCGCACTGGCTGATTGGTGGTGCTTTGACCTTGCAGACTCCAGGGAGCTCCATCGCCCTCGTCTGGTTGATGGAGATGCCAAAGGATGTCGCAGTGCCATCCAGGACCATGCAGAGGCAGCGGGGGTCGGTCTGGACGACTCCGGCGAGCACTGAGCAGCAGGAGATCCCTGGTTCCGGTGCCTTGCTTGAGATGAAATCCATGCACGGGGAGAGGGTCATCATCACGCTCGAGCAGCCATTGCCCTGCGCTGCAGCCCTGGAGAAAGCCAGCGCCACCAGCACCACCACCAGACTGGTCATCACCGAGGCGGTCCCCATCGTTCGTGCAGCCATCATCAAGCTGCACGAAGCGATGTTGAAAACTTTGGATGGATCGGTGGAGAGGTTGTATGGACGTTGAATGAGAAACGAGGGCAATGCTGTGGTGATGCCGGATTGTTGGAATCCTACTATACCTGGAAGCTGCCATGCTCTCCCTGGCGCCACACAGGTGGTTGGCCATGGTGGTGAATCCTGGTGGCCTTTACCTGCAGCACCCTATTTATGGAAAGACTCCTATGCCTATGCGTAAATGGAAGGGTTCGGTTGCTCAAAGATCGTCTCAGGCTCCAGCGACTCATTCTTTCTTGATTCTTTCCTGGGTCTGGGTTTTGTTGTTGTCAAATTTGCATTGTATTTGACTATTTGTAACGGTGCTGCTGAGAAGATATATATGTGATCTTAAGCTGTTATTTCGACTGTTTTGACTTTCGAGGACTTGCTAAGCTTGTAAGCATCATTTATTTCTCACGCTTGATGTACTTCTGTTTGATGTACCTTCAGATATGTGTAGCTTCTTGAATGCTACACAACATGTCAATATGTGTCTGTCTTCGTATGCAAAGAAAGAACAATTCGTCGATAATTTCAATTCAACTGTTGATATCCATAAGAAAAAAACAAAAATATGTAACTAAAGAAAGGGAGTATATACACCGAATGGCAAAAGGTGTTGCTTGCAAAGTTGTTGAGTTCTGCACGGTTAGGCAAATCCCGAGAAGTTTTGTTTGGTTGGAGGCTTGTGACTGAGAAGGTTAAACGAGGGAATATGGTGTATGATTAATTAACATATAAATTTTAATAAGTTGACTCACAAAAATAAATGATATAGATTAGTACTCTCTCCGTTCTAAATTATAAATTCTTCTGGCTTTTCTAGATACATAGTAGTCTATATCTAGATACATATAAAACGTTATATATCTAGAAAAGCTAGAACAAATTATAATTTGAAATGGAGGGAGTATTATTTTTCTCAGTTAATTAAAATACAAATAAAATCCTTTTGTACTATGCTTTCAATGATATTACAAGTCTGAGCCCTTGATAAAACAATAATATATAATATGCAAGATATCAATACACATATTTTAATACAATATGTATGATTAGTACAC